ATATGTATACATATATATACATATATGTATATTATATGTATATATGTATAAATATATATATTATATATATATATTTGTCGATGTTTTAGGACGATCATTTTTCGCTAAAATATGCTAAAAATTATGAATTATTATTGTGCTTCTCTGTCAGTCGGTGTATTCCGCACGATTAGTCGAAATTAATCGAACTTCCCCCTCTCGATATAGCAATCCAGATTGAAATAATGGTCGAGTCTCACAAAAATAGAAATTATTTCTCTAATGATATATATATATATAACATTTTCTTCCATATTCAAATTTTAAGAAAACAATTTGTAGATAAACATTTTCTATAGTTTTTATTGTCTTTCTCTTATTGAATTTTATATTAGTTTATTTTCTTAATGATTTTATTCGGATCTTCAGTTTGAACTGTTTCGTAAATAATATAAATGAATATTTACTTAATATACTATATAGGACGCACAATTGTTAATATTCGTTTTACTTTATTTCAAATTGATCTCGAATATAAGTATATATTATTTTTTTGTATGATTATTAAAAAATTTATATAATCATTAATAATTTATATAAGTTTGTTTTCAGAGACACGACCTTATCTTTTCAGTCGATCTTTTTTTTTGCTGTATTTCTTTCACAAGCATGGATATTCGCATTTTTACAATTCTTATGTCTTTAATTGAAAAAAAGAACAAAAGATAAAGAAAAGAAATATGTCTGCATTCTCTTCTTATGACCGGAATAAAGGAAGAAAAATCTTAATTATGTTAGCTATTTTTTTGCGAAAGAAAAGCAGCAATTTATTATTATTATTATTATTGTTATTATTGTCTTTATTATTATTATTACTATCATTATTATTATTATTATACGTCCTATTATTATTACTAATGATGCATTATAGTTATTATTGTTATTATCATCTAACTTCCAGAGCATTTATAAAAATGATCTAATGCTCGATTAAAAATGAATAATATAAATAATCGTCGGCAGGTTCGACGAGAAAATCGATTTGCTTCTCGATATACGGTATATATATTCCATATTTTGCTTTATCTCTTTCAAAATCCCTTTTTAGTATGTAACAATTGAAATAAATTATTAGACATTGCATATATAATCCTAGTAAAATCGATCAACGTTTGTAATAATACAATAATGTCATTTGTCACGTAATTGCATATTGGCAAGTTATAATTTTTCATCCAAATTTTTATCGCGTAGATATATTTATTGTAGATTTATTATTATAGCAACTATTTTTGTTGATATCTTATTTAAGCCTGGTTACGTGTTAAGTGTTTTGAAAACTCGACTAATTGCAAGCTAATATAACTCTACGTTTGTTAATTAAAAAGCAATTTGTGTTTAGGATGAAGTATCCTAACAGGAAAGATTTTCAACAAAAATCTGAAATTATGTTTGCCACGTTTTATTGAGTAAATGAAACTTTTAATGAGAGAGTACAACGAAGTACACGTAAACAAGTGTCGTGCTGAATTGTGAAATGTAATAATCAACTTTTAATTGTTTCTTTTTTTAAAGATAAATCAAATAATTATTTATTTATTTATTATTAAATAGTTTATATCCCACACACATAAATACACACAAAATAGAATTTGTTAAATTATATATAATAATATTTATTTATTTTCAACGTTCTCTATTAAAAAAGTTATCATTTGAATATAAAGTTTTCTATAATAACGATACGTTAATTGTTAATGATCTATTATTATAATAAACAAAAAAGGGGCTGAATACACGAAGAAATATATTACACGTATTATATATTATATACATATATACTCTCTCGTGCTTCTGCATATCCGTTGACATATCAAATGTAACAATACTTACAACACACACGATCGATTTGAGATTTGTTTATGTTAGTTAAAATTTTAGATTTTTTTTTTTATGAAATTTTCTTTATCGTTAGATAAGAAACAGAATAGGCCTATGCAATAATCGATTAAAATAATTAAAGGTAAAGAGAAAATATTATATTTAATATTATTTCTTTTCCAAATTTTAAATTACGATATTTTTGCATAAATCAAAAAAAGACTAAACTCTGCTACCGTCTCTATAAATGAAATTGATTTATTTTCCTTCTACTTTTTACTCGCAATAAATAAAAATTTAATTTTTTTTTCGCGTGATATATGTGTTTAATTGACGAGGATAAAAATATAAAATACACGCACCCACATCCATACACACACATTACACAAGCGCGTATAAACACATTCACACACGTATGTATATTTGTTTAAAACTTATCTTCCAAAACTATATAACAAAAGAAAAAGAAGAAATTAATTATAATTAAACGTTAAAGGAAGAAAATAGGACGAAATGTGATCGTGCACGCGGTGTGACAAAGGAATATTTTTTTATTTTACAGTTGATACTTGAACTTACTGAAATAATCGATTCTCTTACAATTAATTGAAATGAATATTTACAACAATGTATGATGTATCCATAATTAATTTATTTTCTTCAAATCATTGTGATATTATAATACATAAATATTCCTATGCCACTTGAATTATCTTATTTCTAAGAATAATCAATAAAAAGAAAAAAGGAAAAAGAAAAAAAAAAAAAAAGAAAACAAAGAAAAACTGATTGTCAGCAATTTCGTTACTGTATCTATTATATAAATGTTGCTATAGAAATCGTAAGAAAGAAAGAGAAAAAGAAAGAGAGAAGAAGGATTGTTATATTATTGTCTTTCTTTAATCAAAAAAAGGGAAAGAAAAGCTAGAAACAAAACTTCCATGTGTTTGTCCAATGTATTGTTTGTTAAAGAAGAGAAGCAAAAAAGAAAACCAAAAAATATAATGACAAAATATTATATGATATGAAAAGAAAAAAAAGAGAAAAAAGGCAGAATAAGATTGGAGGAAGGGTGTAGAATTGTTATAATTATGTTTTTGGGGGGCAATCGAGGGGGAGAACAACCGATTTATCTTCAAAACAGATACGTACGAGCAAGGATGAAGAGAATTTTCCATGTAATACACGCGCACGCGCGCATCCACATACATAACTGCGTTGTTTAATATTGATAAGGATTAAAAATAAAAATCGATTATTCAGGAAATTCATTCATCGACTATTCTTACGTATTACAAATTCCTAAACTTTTTTGTTTTGGCAATAAACAAAAATTGAATCGTACGAGTGATACAATAAGAGTATATCATTAATTAAATTTAATTAGACTAATTAGAGATAAAATAACGTCAAGTTAAGTTTCTAAGTAAACTAATATTATTAGTTAAATGTGTGATATTTCGCTTTTGAGCATGCTTCCAGAACAACGCGTGAAAGTTAACAAATGTCAAGGCTCTTTTTAATACTCCAAGGCATATAAAAGTTCTCGAAGTTTGAAGGAAATTTTAGTATTGCGTAGTTTCTATCATATCTTACGAAATACATCATATGTGTTTTTTAAATCAGTACTATAAATCTACTCTTCTCCTACCTAATTTTTACCTAATACGTCTTATTTTTTTTCCTCCCGCGTTATCATATTATATCTTTATTTCATTTCATTTCACAAACTTGTTATTAAGAATATATTTGTTATATTATACCTAATATGTCTCCCTTGTATATTAGGTATAACATACGTTCGGTGGTAAAAAAAAAAAAAAGAAACATACGAATATATGAAAATAAGAAATAATAATATTTGCAAATATTTCGATAGTTTTAGCGAATCCATCGGATAGACTTATTGTGCAATCAGGAAATTATAAAAATGTTCGAAAATACGCGTAGAATGAAATAGTATCGACGAAAGAAAAATAAAACGAGAGAAGGAATCTCGTTCTCTCTCCTGTTTACTTTCGAGGACCGGTAAAGATGATAAAAGGCCGAGATGAAGACGAGAGAATTCATAGTCGTTCTTTGGTAATCGTTAAGGAAAGTTCGCGTGTTTCGAAGAAGCTCCAATGGCCGCCACGTATCCGATCATCCATTTGCTCATCGCCTACGGCTTTTTTGCCGTCGCACTATGTGAGTACATTTTATTGCGACGTATTCGAGAAAGTGAAAGATTCATGCGCGATAAATCATGGAGGATCTATCGGAAGATCTAAACGATTTTGCTATATAACGTAAAACTAATGGGGATGAACTATTGCCTGGTATTTCAATGACTTCGTCATTATTTTTTCTTCTTTTCTTTTTTTTTTATACCTTCTCGTACCCCAATTATATTTTAATTTAATTTATTTCTTATAATTAGACGAATATATAAAATGTAAGTAAAGTTAGATTTGATAAAACTTATTAATCTCTCGGGGTAGGATTGATTAAATAATTATTAAAAAAAAAAAATAAAGAAATGTGTTAATTTATTATGTAAAAACAAATTTGATGCGGATAATGTGATGAAAATGTCTTAACCCGACGAAACAATTTTTACTACGCGACGAAGCCTGAAGATTTCACCGGATAAAATCTCGCCTTTGACATTTCATAATATCTTTGAAAAAGCAAGAGTAAGGCGAGATATTGCGTAAAGGATATGCATGTAATGCTAATGAATGCAGGCTTCTCGCGGAGGTCAAGCGTAATGCGAACTATCGAAATTCTTTGAACGTATGAAGGTCGGTCGTGCGTGAAAAAACGTATACACACCTGAATATAATACGTTATAATATAATACCCGAAGAAGATCGGTATCAGATTTGTAATAAATTGTGCGATAGACAGCCTCATCTTACCTGCAACGTATGATACATCAAATGTACGATATAATATGTTGCTTCGTTAAAATACGACCAATCGATTCTATATTTCCGATTCTTCATTTTGAAATGTCGAGAAATTTCGGAAATATAATTTCCCTTTCTTTCGTGTTTTTAGTTTATTTGTTTGTTGTTATGCAGGCGTTAATCAGTATCGAACATATTCAAAAACTCAACAATCGAATCATTTGGTACCACTATCGACTAGACAAGTCTCACAAGGATCCTGTCCAGAAAAGAACGGACGTTTCCCGGTTAATTCTCAATGCGACGCATACATAGAATGTATCGACGGTGTTGCAGAAGAGAAACTTTGCCCGGAAGGTTTAGTTTTCAATCCTGATGCACGATTCAATTATCCTTGTGGATATCCCATTGACGTTGATTGCGAAAGTAGACCAAACAGACGTGAGCATTATTATTATTATATATATATACCTGAAAATGATATTACAATATTATAATTATTAATTCGCATTGATATAATATTATTTAATTAAATGGAGAAATAAAATTGAAGATATATTATATATAAAATAAAATGTTATAACAGAGCCCGCACAACCGACCGAGGATTGTCCACATCAATATGGATACTTCAAAGTTGGTGATCACACAAATTGTGGACAATTTATGAATTGTGCCGATGGTAGGGGATACATTTTCGATTGTCCCGAAGGATTGGCTTTTAATCCAGAATCATATCGATGCGATTGGCCTGATCAAGTGCCAGATTGCGATGCCGAAGGTCGGTGAAAATTTACAGTATATTATTTCGATATTTCGCTGGTGAGATCAATGTGTTTGATTATTCCTTGATTCATTCTTATAGCTTTCCTCGGCTTTCGATGTCCCGAAGTTAAAGAAAATTCATTTTTGAACGGTGAAATAAGATTTTATCGTAGTGCTCACGATTGTCAGCATTATTATATATGTGTTAATGGACATCCACGTTTGTTAAACTGTGGAGAAGGAAATGCATTTAATGAGCTTATTGATGCCTGTGATGCTGCAGAAAATGTTACCGGATGGTTAGTAATATTAATACTTCTAACTTACTGATTTTGAATCTTTTAACGATTTAACTCTCTCTCCCTCTCCTGTCACTTTGATATTATATTATTTATTATTTCAATTGCAGCGCCCCAGAAGCCACCAATTTAATTTCACCTAATATCAAACCAACAAGATTGTTCTGAAACTGACAATTAATTTCACTCTCTTGAGCAGACTGTATCAGAATTTGAGCATTATTGAATGTTCAATTTATTGTACAATACTGAAAGAAAAAAAATAACTCATAAAAATATGTAAATGAAATTGAAGATATCTTAATGTTAATGCGAATGCGTATTATTGCAACATAATAATATTAATATTTATTTTTAATCGATATAGAGACATATTTTTCTAGATGTATACTTAAAATTTATCGAATGCATACGTACCTTGTATTATGAAAATATATAATATAGGAAATGATTAGAGTTTACGATTATGTCAAAATAGATACGATGCTTTATACCAATTATCGTATCATTAACATTCCACCACTTACTATTTGAATAAAAAACACATAAATTAGTTGAATAAATCTTTTTATATTTATAAATAGTCATTTATTGATAATTTACATTTTATGCTTTGACAGCGATTCGTTTCTCATGATATAAATATCAATCTTTTCACAGATTAATTATATTCTACTATATACTGTGAAATAATAAACTTCTTAACATTTTTTTGCGCTATCTATAAATAAATAATTTGACGGAATGTTTTAGTGCAATTTTTATTAGTGCAATATTAATTTGGATGAAAAGCAGAAATGATTGAAAATTGTATTATCGTATTTGGCTTTTTTGAAGCTTTTGTTTTTCTCTTTTTTTATATTATTTGTAATTTTTTAATAATGATACGTAATATCCATCGAGTCAAGTTTTTCTTGCGTTATTGAAATTTGTTATGTTAATCTTTAATTACTCAAATCCACGGAAGAGAAAAATTAAATCTGATTCGTGTTTATTCACATTCATTCTCTGCGTTGTAAAATATTATTTAATACTTGAGAAGAATTTTCTTTCGTTTTAATATCATCTTCTTCGTCTGAAGTAAAATCTGTAGTTAATAAATTAATTAAGGAACTAGATTTTTGCGTTAATAAAGGTAAATTTGCATCGATCCCGTCTTCCTTTTTAGAGCTGTTACTCGTTAATGAACTATCACTTAGCTCTAAACTTTCAATCACTTTACTTCTATTCAATAATACTTTTTGAATAACGTGAAGTATAATTCCGCCGAGGCACAATAATAAACCTATGAAATTTAGGCCGCTTATATGATCACCTTTCAATTCGAAAGCTAATATCAATATGCATATCTCCTGCAATGTAAAATATGTCAATAAATAATCAAAAAGATGGAAGAAAAAATCATGGGGCGGTTAAAAGTTAAATTAAAAATTTCAAACATACTTTAAATATTCCGGTAACAGAAAGTGTTAGACTAGAAGTATACGTGACAAGTAAAAACTCTGTTACTTCCATAGCAAATGCTAAAATAGCTCCAGAATTGACTGCAGCTACAGTTAAAATAATTGGTTCAGAATCGTTCCAATTAATGTTCTTAAGATTACTGTACATTTCTGGACCTGAAATGAAATGCATAATGAAACGTTTGCGTCCTATTTAGCAAAGTCAAAATTCTAATATATTAGTACAATATTATTAACATTAGTAAAGAAATATATGTAGCTCGTAAAAAACCGTGAGAATATGTTTTTTTCATTACCCTCAAACCATAATGTAATAGGTATTACAGGTACCAACATCCACGGTTGCATATAGTACATCATATCAATTGGATTTCTTAGACCCAATTTAGATCTTTGCATTATGACTTGAGCCATGGTCCATCTGAGGCCGCTTGAAAACGATGCCAAAAGGCATAACGTAAAACCGAGTACGTGGAACTGAGTAGATTTATAAGTAAACATAAATAAGCCTCCTGATATTGTTGCTACTATAGCAATTAAAGACCACGACTGAAACAAATGCTCTAATCATTTGTCTTACTCTACATTTATGTGTTAGTCAAATATATTAATTTTCTTTTAATATTCTTATTCGTTTACTAACACATTATAACGATTAATAATTTCTTACCTTTTTCTCAAGTTTAAATATAAGAGAAAATCCGAGTATAAAAACTATGGTACTGGATTTTGTCATAGTATATCTAAAATTTTGTACATTTAATAGAAGAATACATTTTTTAGATCTTAAAAGTTCATTAAAAATTTATTTATACTCACAAAGATATGGTAATTAATGCGATCGACCAATTTGATAGCGCAACGTCAAATCCGCTAGCTATGCCTGGTGGTGCTAGGGAACATATTATATTTTGCCAAGTAAGTTTTACATGATATTGCGGTCCTTTACAGCATAATCTAATGCAACGTATTAACGCGGACAGTAGAAATTTGACAACCAAATGACATATTACTGCTCCCAGAGGAAAATTAAATCCCTAAAGTTATTGTCATTCAAAGAAATGTGAAAAAGAAAAGTAAGTAATCATTATTTTCTTGCTCCTCTTCAAATATTCATCATGGTTTTAAGCAACATGATCGTTTAAAAAAAATAACATTACTTACGTATGACTTGAATAACCATTTCTGATAAAAAGTTAGGCCTACAGATAAAACGAAATAAATAGAAATGATTACAGTTGTTTGTAAGGCTCCTATGCAAGGCTCCTTTTTAGGTACATTTGGGTAATCTTGTGTACTTTGTGATGACAAGTAATACGAAGTATCATCTTTCTTAACAATTTGATATTTAATACTTGGTCTGGACATTTCTTAGAATCTGTTACAAACTAAAAAAAGTAACACTATATTCGAAATAATTAAAATAATTATTCATTTGTTAGAGATTTAATATACCCACCTTTTATTCTACTGAATACTGAATTGGTTATCTTTCCTTGTCACTTTTATGTTACCCCATAAATAATTGAAAGATACATAATATCATATGTATGCGTCAAACTCGTTCCAATTTGTTGAATAAATTTATAATCCTGTTTCTTTTCAATATTTTAAATTAACCATGCTGCGAGAAAGATTATTCTTCATTAAAAAATATAAAAAGAGAAAAACATATTTATTATTACTATCCAACAACTATTATATATATAATAAATACCTGATATTTCTAAGTAATTACACTCATGTATTTAATTACTTTGACCAAATATAATACAATGTACGCGAAAACATAAGGAATGATTATCCTGTTATCAAATCATAAACCGCGCAAGATATCTCATGCCTTATCACGTTTAATAACCAACGACGATAATGTCCATATGTTATTTAAGTAGTGTCTATTTATATATCCTGAAAATAAAGAAAAACATATGTATGTAAAAGGAATGAAAAATAAAAATTAGATATTAAATAATAAAATAAAATAAAATAAAATAAAATAAAATAGAATAAAATAATGAATGATTTTTTGTAAGTTCGTTCAAAATAAAACACGTTCACTCTTTGACAAAAAAGAAATGAAAACACTGAGTCTATGTTTCAAAATATGAATTAATCAAGTTGTGGAAAAAAAACCACCTTTTTTCTACGTTGACAGGGAATACAAATTGAACAAAGCGTCATAATATAGAAAGATTTTTAAGGTAAGTATTGTTACCTCAGTGCCCTCTTCATTCATACCTGATACCGTTCAAAGCAAACCCGCGAATTCTAATAAGACATTCAATATTCATAATCCTTGTTAGATTAAGTAATTTGATAAGTATTTTTATTACCGTGATTCGTTATATATACATATTAACTTTAATGCAACAATAATGACAATATTATATCATCATTGGAAATTTGATGCCTAGATAATGCATTGTACTTTTTTTCATACTAATTATATTTATTAGGATACTTTGTATTCTTATGAAACGTTTAATATTTCTTAACATCAGATTCGAGTATCGTTGGATTCTGTCCTGGATATTGTCTTGGATAACGAGATCTAACGAATTTTCCAGGTGGACAAATTGGCCATGGTTTTACGAGACATTGTGGTTGGCCTTGACATTGAGTTAGTGGACACGCGTCCTGTAATCCATTTCTATGCAAGCACATACATTTTGAATATAAAACTCCACCACGCATTTCCGGGAACTTCAAATCTGTTAGTCTCTGAAATAGATTTCATTGTATTTAAATATAAATGACAATTGTCGATGTTATTAATGAAAATACTTGCAGGTTTCTTTCTATAAACTGATGTTTTTCTGTAATCGCTTTTTAAACTACTAACTGTACGTTTAATTTGCCTTTTTTTGTAAGGACCTCCACTTTTATTCTTGAAAACTACTTCTTCAACAGGTATCATCATGTATAATGGCGGTTCTTCTGCTTTTTGCTTTAATAATTGCATCTTCTGCTTGCTATATGATCAATATATGGCAATACTTTTTAAAAAAAACTTAAGACAAATAATTATTACATTTATATACGGTAGAAAATAATATCGGTATAAGTTATAACAAACTAACCATTCTAAGGCTTTTACTGCAGCTTTTAAACCACAAATAACATCGGCAGCATCAATAGTTTCTATTTCAGACATACTGATAATTTTCTCTTAAATTGAACGAATTACAAATTTGTTAATTTTCTACTTCATAATTTTGTAATAAATTTAAATGTTGTTGGGGGCCAAACTTGTCGAATTGAAAGAAGATGTTTTGTTTGTTTAAGAAAAAGCTAACTAAGTTTTGTTTTGTCTCTTTGAATATCAATTGTTATGGGAATATTAATATTTTTATCCATTTGAATACAATTTGCGGCGACATTTTATTAAGACAAAACATTATACATTGTGTAAATAATAATAATCGTAATACAATATTATATAAATACGCGAATGGAAAAAGAAATAATTTATTCCATTTCCATATTTATGAAACAAATTAAAAGACAAATGTTCTAATTATAGAATGCATATAATATTGCAATAATTTACTTATAAACTATAGTTTAATCTTTAAATAGCATCTTCTATCATTTTGACTACAATTAAAAACTTTATAAAAAAGAAATTTATAAGAAGCTAATATATATATAATGATATACAGGGTTACAGTTCCGCATAAGTCGCTATATTAAATACAGTCATTTCAAATCATGGAACTTTCAAGTATAGTAATTATTGCGTCAAAGTTAACCAAAAGCATGCTACAAACACCGTTTATATTTATATTATCGTCGTTTTTTATAAGTTCTATACATATACATAATTACTAGATATACATGCAATAGTTATATATACAAATATTATCGAAATGTTTGTAAAATATAACTTTAACAAATTTGGACGTTACTACAAATATGCTCAGACGCGTGTAACTAATTAAACTTAATCATGTTATCAAATGTAGCAATACTTATGGCACGGTATATAGCATAGGAGAATAAACGTAATTATTTTTGGAGAATTATCTTATTCGCTTTTATGTCATTTGTAAATTCTGTTATTCGATCAATTTTTATTCTAACTACATTAGCATATAGATAAAATCGATTATATAAGTTAGCATTGTACGCTCGATAAATTTGATTAGAAATGTTTTCATAATTAAGGAATAGGCACGACTATATTTAACGCTTACATTTAACGCCGACCTAACTCTTTTGGATAAAATAAAAATAATTCATAAACGTGTTAATTAGTATTAAATATCCACTCGAGTGAAATTAAATAATTTCATTCCTATAATTGAATAGATGAGAAAAGCAAAAAATAAGAATATAATGTCTCCTTTTGTACTCTCTCTCTCTCTCTCTCTCTCTATATATATATATATATATATATAGATATATATATATTTATATGTATTGACTTTAATATATACTATTTTTACATAGATTTTATTGAAATTATTTTGGCTGCACGACTAGAAAAATTACCGATATGTTCATGCAACTATCAATTTAGAAATGCATATTATATGCTTGCGACTATACGTATTTAATTAAATGCATATGTTTAAACACAGATGTTCACATTTTTATATAAAGTAGCACTAACGCATCAACGAAATATCATTAAATTGTGCGAACTGTTATATAAGAGAATGCAAGTAATAGTTTACATCGTTTAAAAGATATTAATATTAGGTAATTTATTATTTGAAATGATAAAATTAATATTAATAAAATTAAACATTAAGTATGAATCTATATAATGCCACACATATAAAACATCGTGTATGCAATCAGTTCTCAATTTCTAATCCTTCGTATGAAATATTTATATTTACCGTACTATTACAATAAAAACTAAATAGTAACAAGAATCCGGATTTTGGCAGTTCTAACTCAATATTTATTAAAAGTGTTTACTTATTTATTGCTTAATGCATAATATCATTAATGAGAAATTTTAATTTATTATTCTGTAACTTATTTAAATAATCTTAAATTGCATTAAATAATAAAAGTATAGAGATAGAATTTACCAATAGTAATTCTAACGAAACTATAAAAGTAAAGCTAATGATTATATGCCAAAATTCGGGTTCTAATATCCACATTTACAAAATATCACAGATAATTGTAGTAGAAAATAAAATATACTAAAAAAGGAAAAGTAAAATTGCATATTTTAAACAGATCTCAAAGTGGTCCAGAAAAGAAAAGTTCTAAACCGAAGAATTATATTGAAGAATTTAAATTACTTGATAAAAAAAAAATGTTTATATAGACATGGTTCTAAAATTCTTTATTTCCTGATAAATAATTTGAATCCATGTTTATATAGACATTTGATCAAAATCTTCCAAACACGATCGATAAATTCGTTGATTTTATCTGCAACACCCTGTATATCAAATCAATTGATTTTCTTTTCTAAACTCGGCAGTCTTTGGTGCTTACAAATTGAAATAGTTGGCAAATATAATTATACTGTATCATTATATTACATACGTAGGAACAACGGCTACATAAGCCACAAATCCAGGATTTGAGAAACATTGTCTCACAAGCAACATTTTATTTCGACTATCTTTCAACAAATTTTGCTATAGAATTATATTTCCAAGTATTGGATATTTTTTGTTAATATTATGCTGCCCAATACACAAGAATGCGTTAACGCAATTACTTAGTTAAAAAAAATGCTTTTCAAATTCAACGCTGCGAAGAAAAATAATTAAATTATAGGGACAATAATAAAATAGATAGAAAGATTACTATGTTATTAGATGAAAGCTTCAAATTTGTTGTCTTATCTTCCGTTCGTTAAAATTAAAATGAAACAATTAAATTAGGTATTGTGTCTATCACTCACTCATATGTTAATATTGTATAGACTTAACGGGCGCATAGGCTAGGCAAAATGTTAGACAAAATATTAGGCAAAAAGGATATTTCTTCAATAGTTCTTCTTTCTATCGAGCAAGAAATCGTTATACTTATAATCAATAGAGATTATGTCCAATTTGATATCGCCAATTATTAGTTCGATAATTATCAGTATTTCTGAAATGTAATATTTAGACTAACATAAAAAATATAACAATCATCGTCATGTAATAAATTATTTCGTGAAGAAAAATGATAATATTACTGATAGAAGAGTGAACATCATTATAATGTCTTTTCTAATCGTAAATCAATTATTTTAATAGATATTACTTGAAGATTTCATTTTTAGCCTACTATTACCCTTTCGTAATTATCACATTCATGTGGAAGAGATTAAAACTATTAACAATTTTTGTTCAATTTATATATGTTGAAGGAATATCTACAATAGACAATGCCTTTATCCTGCATAGAAAAATAATAATCTAAATACAAAGTTATAGAAAGCTTAAAAAAAGCACGTTGATTTTGACATAACAAGTTAAATAATTTTATAATTGATGAGACATTTGTATTTTTCTAATAAGAAAATTCTATAAGAATATGCAGAATGTGTTTCTTACTTATGTATTTTATAAGAGATATTACACGAGTATTATTGAACATATTGGATTACGAATTGAGAACCACTTTGAAATGCTACATTAAGATATATGCGCAGGATACTAATATATCTGCTACTTTAAAGATAATTTCTAATTAGAAAGCACCGTTAAAATATCTTTAACGTGGTTCTATCGACGAAAAATATTTCCACAGGTGGTATTATTGCAGGAATGTAAAAATATAGAAACTGAATGAAAAAATCTGTACACTTGCAGTTTAAAGAGCACCATGGCTTCAGTCTATGTAGACAGTCCTTAGAACTTTCAACACATCCCATCTTATACGCCGGTGCAATGGGAATATTGCTGAACAATAACACCTATAATTTTATCACACGAAGATGATTTAAAGTTAGATAATTACGATATATTACATTTATGAATATGATAATGCTAACTGTATTAAATACGCTCAGCAAAGTAAATGACCAGGCAGTTAATATATGATCTCGAGCCCATTGTCATCTGGGAGTAGTTTCGGTATGCCTCATTTTATCAAATTGACGTCGATAATGGGCACGTCCTCTACCTCGGTTACGATGTCCGTGATTATTATGTCCATGATTATTATGTCCGTGATGATTGTGATGGAATTGTCGTGGTTGGTTTTGCGTATTGTTCGAAGATTGCTATAAAAAAGACATCAAGTATCTAATGTCTAGAATGAAATTCGACATTAAGGAATAATGGTAAAAATGAACTAATTTACCACTTGAGTGACAGATTGAATAGATTGATTAGCATATGTGTTTAAGCTAGTACTAGGTGGATTAAATCTCTCAGTGGAGACAGCAGTATCGTCTTCAGTTCTTAGCAACATTTTTTCCCCTTCGGCTTCTAAATCAATGATACCACCCCTTTGTTGTTGTCTCAAGTATAATGCTGCCATTTGCTTTTGAAGCTCTTTTAATTCGGCAGTAACTGAAAAGTCTGTGGCTGCTTCCACGTCAATAGGAGGTGGAGCCGACCATAAACTTTCCACGTCGCAATGTATAGATTCCCGGCAAACAGGACAAATAGCCTAAACGAAAGGTATCAATGTTCACAACCCCCTTAGGAAATATTATATGAAACCATAGATGAAATGTTACAATCTGAAATAATGATATACCTGAAATTTGTTAGTAGTATCTTGTTGCCATTGCGGTAATTTCTCTTGTTCTTCTCTATAATAACGTTCAGCTGCTGCAACATGTGCCGCTAAGCAATGAGAATGAAAGTAATGATAGCATTCTGTTTTTGTAAATTCGTCGCCTTCTCTAAAGCCATATAAGCAAACGGCGCATTGATCTGTAGGTAAGTTGCTTCTCGTAAGATGTTCCCTAATCAACTGATATTATTATAAGAATATTAATTAGACGATTAACACAATCATTCCTATAAAGTATAAGAAGAGTTTACGATCAAACATTTACGTTATACCTCAATTAACTCAAACATTACTGGCTGTCCAATAAAATCTTTACATTTAGCTTCAGCATCAGATTGCATTAACCTTACTGTATCTTCATCCAATCCTCTTGGATTTCTTAAGCTAATATTGGGAGATATATCTGGATACCCATAAGGTAATTGTACGACAAGGGTAACGCAGACATATTGCGATTGTGAATCTTCTCCAGTCGAGGGGAATAATATAGTTTCGATATACTCTGGCTCTCCTCTATAAATACAATCATTTATGATGAAATGATATAATGAAATATCATTAGACCCTATATGCTGTTATTGAAATTGTCTCTTGCAATTGAAAGGATAAATCTTAGATTCTTTTGTCAAAAGAATTGAATATTTCATATACAAAAAATAAACATTTTACATAATAAAAGTAAATACGAACTAAATCTTACCTGTCATTTTCTTTTATGGTCAGTTCGTCGTCTAATAAAATAGCTTTTAAGGCTTCGATTTCATCAGTCACCCTAAAAAAAGTAACGATCAAATATATTACGATATTACCTACTTTTCAATGAATTCGATATTATGTTATTACCTTTCATCTACCATTGAATCTGACATTCTCCCTAAAACAAATATTTCTCCCTCGTTTTCTTTACTTTTCTTTTAACTATTTCGGGCACCTTACAAACGTCAATCGGCATATCAATATTAGCAACTTAAAATTCTACTTCTATTGCACGACTATTACCAACTAGACTGAAGTAAAAAGAAATTTGCATGCTCTCGTTATTTCGATCTTTTTGGAAAAATACATTAACGCGCGGATATATTCGATCGTTATTTGTTACAACTTAAGCCGACTATGTAATTAAATTCATTTTAATTGAAATCTAAAAGAAATTTAAATAAAAGGAAAACCTTTAGCCGGATTTCTAATAGAACACTCGAATTATATTACATTCCACCAATGTTATTTATACACAATTATTAATATATATTTATACTATGAAAATATAATATTTCACTAATAAGTAATTCACTTTATGTATACCGTTGAAAATAATTTTCTTACTACTATGTTTTAATTAACATTTAATAAAGTTACTATCGAAATATAATGCTCCTGACGTCATATACCTTTTTAAGCGCGCCAATTTTTAAATACAAATCCTTGCTTCTAAGATTGATCATAACATTATACATGTTTCATTTTTTATTTTCTTTATAATCATATTAGTTTTGAATCGTTATTATTATGTTTCATAATGACATACGATTGTCGCTTATAGTTTGTTTATATATAAATTGTATACTACGAATCCCAAATTCAATGTAATACCCTGAATTTTTATTCTTTCCAAATTCTAAATTCTTTGTATTGAAGTATATATTGCCCATAATAACTACAAATACTAATATTTTTTAAAAATGACTTGTTTGCAAGAATATTCCAGTGGCAATGGCGAAGGAGTTGCGGAAGCTATCGGAAATTGGGGTTTTTCTAACAGAACTTGTAACAGTGGTCAAGAACTTAGACGCTTGAAATGTTTATTTGCTAAAATGGATTGTTTGTAAGTAAAATCTAGTTTGAAAGTAATTAATTTCTGTCAAGAAATTCTATAGATTTTTAATCTATTCAAGGCGTACTACGAAACCTATGACGTATGTACAATATAATCGTAAATATGATCCTGAAGCGTGGCACGTTAAACCAAGTCCCGAGGGATGTAAGCCTGCATGGACATTTCCTGAAAATAGACCCTTAATAACTTACAATTCAGTAGGAGATATCGTACTCGTGTCCACTTTTAATAACGTTGCATCCGATTTAGCTTACAAGATACCTGGTAGAACATATATGTTGCATGGTGTAAGTACACATCTAAACATTATGAGTTACAAATATCTCCTTATCTTTGTTAATTTATTTTCTAGACAAACAAGTGGTATCGAAGAGATCCAGATTGTTGTCCGCAACCAAGTTGTTTAGCACCTCAGTGTACACAAATTTGTTATATTTAAACAATTGTATAACTTATAATAAACAAATAATATATGCGTATCATCGTTTTAACCGCACTCCGTGAGAAATTTTTTATCATAGAATTTCGAGGATATAGTAGAATAGTGAAATGATCACTTGGAAAGATTTTATTACACCGCATTTCATTAAAGCAAAGCTTGTTATAGCGTATTTACATATACATACATACATATATATGTGTGTGTATGTGTATATATATATATATATATATGTAATCTGTAACACACCTATATATACACGCACATAAGCATATTTAACACTAAGATACAGAGCATAGCATTAAAGAAGACTAATAGTATCCTTTTAATTTGTATGGAAATTTCTGCAAATAATCTTAATATAGGAGGATATTACTCGGAAATTTCTGGTAGTATACGTGAAAAATTTAGAAATATTTGCATTAGTTAAAAAAAGAAACTGATTGACTCTTTTTGTTTTCAGGCGAAACGTCGAAGTAGCTCAGTTATGTAAGTCAAAGGATTTGACACTTCTCCAAGTAATCCTAAAATATAATGATTATACGTTAGAAAAGTGTTTTAAAATAAATCAAATATAAATCAATAATTGGATAGTTTTCAATTTACCAAGAACGTCACAAAATTCTTCAAATGATGAGCAAGGCAACAATTCATCGCGATATGTTGCAAGAACTCGCTCCGAGGCTTTTAGCATGGCTTCGTCATTATGCCTAATATATTCAGCTAAGATCGAAGGCCACTTTTCATCATAGAGCACATTTATTTTCTATAATAGTCGATAAAATAAATAATTATTTAAGAAATATATTTTTTTCATTGTCCAAATAAGTATCCGAATGGTACCTACCCCGAAGAAATTAGTATAGATACAATCGATGAGACCTAAGAATATCAGAGTACTTTTATAAACATTATATTCTTTTACTGTTGTGTTGAAAATATTTTTCGTTGCGACAGATGGAGATTCGTGACGTTGATGAGCAAGTACGATAAATCTGTTGAAAAATGCAACTTTATATTTGTTCCAGCGATTAGGAGTAAGTAAAAGAACTGAAAGCGTGCACTGATATAATGGCCCGTCTGCTTCGTAGCAATTTTCTAGCCACGCTGCACTGGCTGAAGATTCCAAATAAGTAACCAGAGCTTTGTCTTCTCTGCTAGCCGTGCGTGTCCTATTAATATATAAAAATTAATATAAAGTTCGTCTGTGTGAGTTAATTCTAGTTAAAAATAAGTAAATAGTAATAATTACGTACGTATTAATCACGTATAATGCCATGTGTATTAGATATGGCACCATGTGCATGTTAGATTGGGGACCACCACCTCCGGTATCCTCGTGGAAACTTTTCTCTTGCGCAAAACGTAACAATAATAATTTTAAATCATGAATTGTGGATGGATAGGATATATCGCGATGGCTCGTGCACTCTTGCAGATACGTATTGTGTCTTGCTAAACAACTGGCGAATGCCGATTCCGGTACTTGCGGACCCCACAACGGAAGAAGTCCATTACATTTGGTATTAGCATTTTGCAAAGCTGCGCTCTCCCATTCGTCTCTGGCGCGTGCTAAACGAACGGCTGACATATGGCAGTCTACGTGTACCACGTTAAAATGAGTTACCGTGGTATATCCTACAGTCTTTCTCTGTTTCGTTTCAAATTCCTCAACGTTGCATCGTTTTGTAAATGTGTAAATACCTAATACCTATAGAAAAGAAAACAATAAAACATCCGATGATTTAATTTATTTATTATGTATAATAATCGTAATGAAGAAGACTTCAATAATATTAAATTACCATATTGGGCTTAAATTTATAACCCTCGCGACAAATGACGCAAACTAATCCACTTTCGTCTCCCAAATCTTCCATTTGTTGAAGAATCGTTCCACTCGCCGTTACTTGACCCTTATCGTTAGTTTGCATACCGAGCGCTCCTAATTGTCTTTCTCGCATTGCCATGGCCAAACGTTTCTTTTCGCTGCGCGTATGCTGCCTAGCTTCTTCGATTAATTGAGCAACACGTGTATTAGTACAAAGCGCTTCGAGTAAATTTTCTGCCAATGAACCAACGTGTTCGTCCGAAGATACTTGTTCCAATCTATGAATTATACTAATGGTAACTTGCGAAGCTGCTAATTGAGTCGGTTCGTGATCTGTCGCTAGTCCAGTGAGAAATCGTAAAATATATTTAAGTGCCGGCTTAGAAATAAAATCTTTTAATTCGTCACTATCCGTGCGAAGCAAAGTCGGCTTAACGCATGGCGCTTGTACAGTTATATATTCAAAGGCATCCTTTACTATACCCATATTAATAATATAGTCTTTCAATGTATTCCCTATAGCATTGCGTTCGATACCCTGCGTGAGGATACAAAATAGTTCCAACTTTTGTTCATCTTCTGGCGTGTGTTCAAAGTCAAATTTATAAAAATTGAGGACTTGCTTGAAGTAATCACAAAGTAAAGCCATTTTATCTTGATCACCGTAAGTGAGAGCTGCGAGTACCCTAGCAAGATGCGTCAGGACGTTGCTGCTTTGTCTCACAGCTGCAGATTGCGTACATGAAAGAAGCGCTTTAATATGTTCCGGGCCTCCAAGTGTACGCGAGAAAGCTTCGAATGCACTGAGAGGTTGAGAAGCTGCATTAGCTAAAATTGTTTCCATAATATCCAAAAGTTGTTCCGTTACTTTAGATTGCGAATTATCGGACTCGGTGGCCAGACAACGTTGTAGAACATCTAATAGAACGGTAACTGCTCCTAATTCTGGTTTACTTAATACATCTTGATTCTTTTTCACTTTGACGCATAATCTAAATAGTTTTAATAGAACTTGAAGAAGCGGCCCAGCTCTGGTAACGTCTTGTATGGCTGCCAATCGATTCAACATAACATGCAAGCCTCCGCAATCGGCTAATACATTTGCCATTTTATATACTTCTTCATTGTTAACCTCTTGTTCGCTATTGGCATTTAAAGTTTCAACAAATTCTTCAGTCGCATCACCGAGAAGTCCTCGCATTCTATATACGACGCGCATTGGATCAGATTCGCCTCCTTCCACTAACCAAACTTTTTTATACACTTCTTTGACTTGAAGATCCAAACTAATAATCTTATTGTTAACGAGTAGTTCCATTCCGTTATCATCTTCCAATAAAGCTACCAACTCGCAATCCTGACAGATTTTATTTTTAACATCTCGCATTAATGGACCCAAACCAGGTTCCAAACTACTGTATGGATTGCCCAACATTCTACCTTGCAAAAAATCTTCTTGTTGAGGGTCTTTCTCAAGTATCAGGAAAAATTCTCCGACATCATTGTCTTCTGGATAAATAATGGAACAAAGTCTTTCGAAAATAAATACCGGCGTACGTACATCTTGAGGACTATATTTTTGGACAGTTTCAACGCAAACGGCCATAAACGCTTTCGTTTCTTCCTCCGTTCCAGTAGTCATTTCTTCTAAAAGTTCTAATAATTTTTCTTGCGTCTCATCGATAAGTCTGGTTCTCTGGACGACGAGTCTTCTCAGCGATAAGTAACCATTCAAAACTGCACCCACGAGTCTTCCTTTATATTGTTGTTTTATATTTTCCTGTTCTAAGAAAGTTGCTAGTAATTCTGTTAACATTTTTAAAGAGTATCCTTGAGCTAAGTCACTGGTCAACGTCATTTCTTCCAATCTATGCAATTCTTCTATTTCCCTAGTTAATAATGCAGCCAGTAAAGTCATCACACCGCGGACAGCCAAGAATTGTTTCCAAGGTGGTTGTCTAATAAGACTTTCGTACAGCGTAAGAAATTCTGTACTGCTTTCTCCAGCTGTACGCATTTCTTCCAGATAACATGTCAGCAATACAAGAATTTCTTTTTTCCTTTCGGTCCCTTGGCAAAGACTTTCGACCATGTTACAAGCAACTTGTCGTGCCAATCGTGAACTAGGATTGAAGAGAACCTCTTTCAACCATGCACCGTCCGCTAATTTAAGTTGTTGCATTCCATGATGCCTCATGCATCGATATTGCCACCTGTGACCATACTTCTCCATAAGATATAATATACGAGTTTCACCTTTTTTCAAGGGTTTACTCGGCACTGATTCAGTTTTCCTCGCTGGCATTCGTTGAAGCCATTCGGTATAAGAATGCTTGGCATCGCCATTAAGCCATTTTTCTACGTCAATGCTAACACCTTCCGGTGGTTGTATAGTTGCAACTGATTCAATAGTTTTATCCTTATTTTTTTTCGAAACTGGTTGCTCAGGTTTGATAAGACTTTGTAAAATTTTCAAACACGGCAATATAATACTATCCATGACTACGGGACTCTTCGATTCCTTGCATGCCATTAAAAATAGTTGCATGACGCAACGTAGCTTTTGTTCCCAACATGAATCCTGTTTTTGAACGAGAGCAGCGAGTAATGCCATTTCGTGTCGTACAGCGAGAGAAAGATCGGACGTTGCGACTCTTCCTCGTAGGGTTAAAGTAATCCGTCCAGTTAAAAGAGAACACAATTCTTTGGTAGATTGCGCATTGTCTCTGGTAACGAGACAGAGTAATTGTCTAACTTCTTCTTGCATTTGTACCGTTCCCTTACGTAAATTATGTTCTACGAGTTCCTGAATCAATCCTTGTCTGCACAATACGTCTCTGGCAATGGTATTGGTTGCTAGAGCACGTAGCAATGTTAAACAATGTTCGGTCGCAGCCGAGGCACAACCATAACATCGTCCGGGTGGGGGAACAAACGTATCGTTTTTCGCGCTAGTCTCGTTTCTCGTGTACGTAATCGTCGATTGATTTTGGCCACGTTGATTTCTGTCGTATGCAACTAATTCTCGGCGACAAGCTAAAACCTTTTGTATGATCTTACTCAATTCTTCAAAGGAAGTTTTACATTCTCCGCAATATCTTTGAGCCAATAATTGGATAGCACGATTAACTTGGGTATTGCCAGATATTTGAACTCCTTCTTCCAATCCTCGATCTAATCTGTGTTCTGATATTTTAACGAGCAA